TATGACTTTCGCTATTGACATTGTCTGTAATTAACAAATACACTAAATAGGAAGATTTATTATACAACTTCATAGGCTAGTCGCCTCCCTAAGCGGACCCCCCGCGTCCTATCTCTTATGTTAATTAACTTTCTGAATTCTATAATTGAAGTTTATTTAATAAATAACTGAAATCTCTAATCTACCTACATAACCCATGCTTTTAAACTACAATTTAACGTGTTTCAAGTACTTCTGGCTTTTACATATCTTATCTTATATCTTTGTTCGTCCCAGATGACACCTTCAAGTGACTAAAATGCTTCACTTTGAAGTTAGATTCCAAGCTAATTTTAAATTGTATATTGTATAGGGTAAATGTTCCAACTACGCTCTCACGTTTCCACTATGTGGCCCCACAAAAATACATATGGGTATGTCACAATAGAAGCACACCGCAGTGGAAATCCCGAGCCATAGTTCAAACACTTATCCCAAATCAAAATGAAGCACATATAAGATTAGTTACAATACCATGTACAAAAATGATGTTTAACATTGTTTTCTGAGTAATACTTCAATGAAAACAACAATGAAAGCTTGTCACGCAAATAGAAGGAGCACTGTTGGGCACTTTCTGAAATATTTCAATAGTATAATTCCCTTACAAACCCAAATAAATCTATCTGCGTAAAAAATAAATAAAATAAGAGTGATTTGCGGCAAAACCCGCCAGTATCACACCCAACGTCAGTGCCTATACGTAAGCGTACTACGACGTGGCTCTCAATAAAAGGAGTAACAAGTGTGATACTATCACTGCTAGACTAGATCTTTGGTTCTCTCATGCAGCGGTTTATCAGAGAGGGGAAGCTTAGTAATCCCCATCGCCTGCCCATGTCGCCATTCTATCGCGGCATGAGCCAGCAACGCCGACCATAAACCTACCGTCTTCAACACTCCACTATAAAGCATGAAATTAAGCCCGCCCACCAACAGCAAGGTGCAAAAACTAGCCAAGGGGAGGGTCCTTATATTTATACCTCTAGCTGTATCCAAATTCCCGAACCAATTAGATTCCGTTTACATCCGGTCTATATCACGCTCACTTTTACTCGTTTCTATTCCACACTAACTCTATCTACTACAGTTCACTTTTACATACTTTTGACTTGTTTGTCTCCTTTTCTAATGTTGTCAAAAACGAAGGAGCACAACCACCCAACATGGGTAGTAAAGTGTGAAACCCCAATGTTAAGTATAATCATAAAGGTTGAACACGAAAAAATCCAGTCACATTTTTCATAGTTCAATGTAACCGCTATACATTAGTATGTATTATACTTATTGTAAGTCCTTTTTTTCAAATATTCTTTCTTACCATTGGCCATTGTTCGAACATTTCTTCGTACACGCCTCATCTTCTTTTGCACGAGCCCTGTTCCCACTTGTTTGGCAGCCAAATTCCATTTCCTTAAAATCCTTCAGGTCAATTGCAGTTCCATCCTTTTTCCTCAGTACGTGCTTCTAAATTGACCAGTATTCCTCAATCCTTAGTTGTGGAGTTTTGGTCGGATTAATCTCCTTGGGAACCACTGTGACGCCACTTTCGCTGTACCAGTGTTGGGTGAAATGTGAGTAGTGGTAGATTGCCAAGTCCAGCCAGAATAGGCAATCCACCTCATGCTGCTCTAGAAAAGGCAGTAGTAGTCTCTTTCGTAGGCACTCTGCCCAAGAATTTGATCGAAAACTTCCAGGAGCGGATAGACCGGGATTTTCGTTTTAAGCGTCCAAGATCGAATCGCGACTTGCTTGATCCGGTGAAGCCATGATGTAAATAAATGAAGTTATACAATGCCTGCTGTGATTCTATGCACTCTTAGCTTGATTCAGTAAAATATTGAAAAAAATAAATATTTATGTCTTAATGGCAGCGTTTTTAGTGTGTCCGAATTTTTTCGTGTTTTACCTTTATTCACCTACTCTTGGGTACACCGATCTTACTTTTGGTTAGAAAGCGAGTGGAAAATTCCATCCGAATTTCACACTAGTAGATGAACTTTGACCCGCTGTACCTAATTTTGGCTTCCTGCACTAAAGTGCCGAGATGAGTGAAAAGTACTTACTTTTGGTACTTTTTTCTTACGGTGTAGATAAATTTCGTTTGTTTGGAAAATCTTCTCTGTCACGTAGCTCTCGTATGAGGGAAATCAACAAATGAGTTCATTATACACGGCCAACTACAACAATTCAGCGACTGAATTCAATTGACTCAGAGCATTTTCTTTCCATACAAAATTTACTCACATATGAAAAAAAAAACTGCATTTAATCATAGCTCATAGCTGAGTCAATTAAATTCTGTCGCTTATAGCGAATTCGTTTACTATCGGGGTTAACACCAGTTCCAACCCAGTGCGAAACCGAACTTTTTGTCAGTGTGAACCTCAACCTGAGCTAGGTTTTAAAAACAAACGAGCAAACTGACGTTTGTCAGAAAACAAGCAGACCCAATCTTGATACCCGATCCAGGTTGGAACTGAACGAATTCGCTATTAGTTGTTGAAGTTGGCCGTGTACATCAATCCTCTGCCTAGAAGGAGGGTTGCTGAAGCCACCACCATTGCTGGTGGCAGCACTGTAGCCTACAGTTTTTATGCTATGTTTATATGTGCATTGACGACACGTATGCGTTAAAAAATCTTATGTGAATAATCATTAATGAAACTTGAATTTTTCATGATTGACTTGCCTAATTTAAAAATTAATATAATAAATATTTAATTCCTACATATAAGCGCTTGTTGAACCTCGTGTTGTACATTTATCACGATTATTTTGCCGCGCAACCAATCAAACATCTTTGTGGACGGAGCCTAATTTCTCAATTTTTGCATCAGCTTTCTTAGATTGGCAGATAATCAAGCCAACTTTGGCTTCAAGCAAAATGTTGGTCGGTGACGTTTCTGCCACCGGCGTACATCGACGAATACGTGTTTGTTGAGATTCTTCACTTTTTGGTGTATTGATAAGCGTGATTACCTCTCACCCCAGCAGGCCTGGGTTCAATCCCAGTCAGCGCCGCCGGGATGTTCTGAGGCATAACATATCTGATCACGCCTTCCTTCGGGTGGGAAGTAAAGCCATTGGTCCCAGGTTCATGAGTTGATGGGTCGATAGGTAGGGTCCAGGTGTGGGAGCTGCCTCCCTGGCATCGGTAGCATTGGTGCTCAGCACGGAAAACAAGATCAATGGAAAACAAATCAAAGGAAAAAAAAAATCATTTTGGCATATTTGGTTATTTTGAATATTATCGATCCCAGAACTTAAAACCTCTATATTATCATCAATACTGCATGAAACAATAATTTTTCGTCGTTAGCTTGGCTTCAAAAAACTTTTGCTCGAAAAATGTTTCTACAATTAGTTTGGTATCTTCTATATCATTTGAAAAAACTTGCGCTCTAAAAATTTTCTCTGTATTTTTTTGTATTTTAAATAAAAACTTAAAAATGGTTGTCTCAAAAAAGATTTTTTTTTTGCATTTTTTTTTGTTTGTGTAATGTTTTAGGGGGCAATAAATGCCACGCATTGCATTATAGGTCAGCCAAATAAAAAAAAAAATACGAAAATTAATGGATTTGCAAATTCTTCTGGAATCGCTCAATAGTAAATAAGGCCACTTTGCAAAACCAATTTGATTGATGACTGAGAAAATTTAAATAAGTGTTAAATAATGTACCAACTCACAAACGTTCACGAGATGCGTGCGAAAAGATCGGAAAGCAGTCAAAGTCCAGTGTGGGTTGTAATTTTGGTGTTTCATATTCTGAAATTCCTCACTTTATTCCACTAAACTCGAATTTGTTCAAATTTCAAACGACTTCTGTTGGAAGAAGCAATCGTAGAACTCGTTGGCCTTGTCTTCAACGGTTTCCATCTTCAGTTTCGAGCACTTTTCGATCACGTCGGTGGCCTGTTTCCGATCGTATTTTTCCGCCAGGAACTCAACCAGACTTTCATCCAGGATCGTTCCTTCATCGTTGATAAAGTTGAGCTTCTTCATGGTACAGGTGATGAATTTCTTGGTCACATCGTCCTTCTCGTTCAATTCGCCATACTTGAATTTACTCTGAAAATCGGAATCCACTGCAATACCCAGATTTTCCATACAGAAGCTGGAGGTTTCCTTCAGTTGTTGACGTTGTTTTTCACTGTAATCGGCCTGCGTTTTGTTTGGATCAAATATTACAAAACTACTTTCTGCAATCAAAATCGTAGGGTACTCACCAGACAAGCTGCTACCAACAACGTAATCAGTACTATCGCCTTCATGATTTCGAAAATTTCGGTGCAAACTTTTCGTCTAACTTCGGGGTGTACAAATGCAACACTGAATATGGCATCGGGAAGAGGCTGTTCATTTATATACCCAGAAAGTAATCACAATTATCAAAATGAACTGGTTTGTTCTTTTTCCATCAAGAATATCTAACCGATTTATCATCCGAACATGGGAGAAATCCATTTAAACCCTTTCATGTCCAACTTTTTATGTGCTGTATTTCTTAGCATTTAGATGTTTTCTCCTTTGCGTGCTAAATAAACCAGTCTCAAAACAATACCCTTATACTTATATGATACATATGATTCCAGTGCACAGTTCTTCAATATGGTCCGGAAAGGGTTAAGCTTGAAGCATGTAGACAGCGAAGTGCAAGATTAAGATTTCCCTTCCTATCTGTGTTTTTTTTCTTTATCTGTTTCTGGCGGGAGTCAGCCAAATCTGCTGAGTCACGATGATCATTGCATTGATTATGGTTCGAATGTTGCGCCCGTAGAACAAAGCGGATACTTTGGCTCTCGGTTGCCTTGTACTAACAATGGAGCCCAACTCCTAGCTTGAATTCTGACTGCGTTCAAAATTAACCTACCATGAGAATGATAAACACTTTTTTGAATGAACTCGGATTAGGTATGGGACATTGAAACTAATTTAAACTTTCTATTTTATCTTTCAGATTTTATGCAAAATATGGATCACCTGGTAAGTACAACGTTTAAAGCTCAACATTATTGAACAAGTTTAGTAATCCGATAGGGTTAACAAAGGTAAACAAAATCGAGTTATCACATCAGTGCCTCTCTTCTGGTATAACATTTTTTTCCAAAGCTTCAGTAAAGATCATTTTAGTACCTATTCCTATTCTTAAAAATAATAAATGTATACAGTGTATCTCAAAAAATGATCGTACGGCTGTCCGTACATTTCAGAAAAACAACTGTACGAGCACAACTTAAAAAGATAGATTTCTAAATTTTTGGATGCTCGCTCATCAACCATTTATTGATTACACTGTGCAACAAATTGGAACTTTTTTTTTCTAGGACTGAGAAAGTTGACCATATTTGACTTTCTTGTAGACTTCTGGCTCAGATTCAAACGAACATCCTGGCTTATCAAATTACAAACTGCGACGACATTCAATTATTCTGCAATGGATACTACACGAAATCATGGTGATGGATCCGTTCAGTCTGGAAGTGCTATTTTCCCTAAGTTCCAAGGTTAATCTGGATTGGATTTCTACCATGCATGTTTTGAGACCGTCTAAGAGTAAGGATAATGTTGTGCTGGCAATTACCACTGCGGGGCCGTACAGGTTTGGACGTTGATCGAAAATAAAAATAAGTATTCCGAACAGATCTACAAAAATGAATCGAAGCAGATCCGTTGTCTCGCGATCAACTGCTATTCACAAAATATTGGTACATTTACGATGCTGGAGATTTTACTGTTCTGTGCAACGTGATCTCGCCATCGGGAGCACGTTCTATGGGAGGTGATTTGCTGACAAATCATCGCGTTATATTGTGGTCCAACGAAGGAAAGGAATATACCTATCTCTCGCAAATAGCATTTCCATGAACCATCCATTGAGAAGGATTCCCTCTTCCTGTATTACGCGTTGTTGCAGGCAGGCGAGAAACCACTGTTCTGTCCTCCGACTATGGAATTGGTCACGTCGAATCGGGCGGAAAAACGCAAAAGTATCTCCTGAGGGGTTATTCCGAAGGGTTCATCAATATTTGGGCCGTACCAGACATCACTACGGAGCAGATTAAAGTAATTCAGAATGAGAAGACACTGCCTGCAAGTAAGCAGATTCCATAAAATAGATTTTCCTAAATGTTTTGCACTGCTCTTGAATCGACCATCTGTACCTGTTTGGAATAGGCGTGAAACATTTTTTTTTATAGTCACTTTAACTCTTTTGGGTCATTCGTGACTTGTCCGGGGGTGAGATTTGAACTCGTGAGGTATGGATGCTAACCACTACGCCAGGGTCGCCCTCCGTGGAACAAAATGAATCCACTACCACTACCCACCATCTCGTCGGAGTCCATGAAAGAATCATTCAGGTGGGCATGCTAATCGTCATCTTCACCAGGGAAAGGCTGTGCGGCAACGTGGACAGTCCCGTCTGGCTGGAGCAGATATTTGCATCTACTTAGTACTTCTCCGGATTGGTTTCGTACGGTTCGTAGAGTGTGATTTTGGCCTGATTGAACTGTGACGAATTGATTTCCGTTCCTTCTTTAGTAACTCTTGGATGGTGATTCGAGTTTTGGGATTCTTGTTCAACAGCGAAAGCAACACTCTCCAATTCATCGCTGATTTCTTGCGGAATGATCATTTCGGATGGCACGACTTACTTTAACGTCCACGAATGGGTTCTCGAAGAACATCAACACGTACGATATTTCTATCGCTTGCTTTCGGCAAGCAAAACAAAACTTTGAACTGTCAAAATACCGGGTTCCCAAACATAAAATTATTCACAAACAAAGTCAGTCCGATGACTGGCACTGTCACACTTGAGGCACACTGAGAAAAAGGTTGGCACAAAATAAGTGACCACCCCTTGGAATAACCTTAACAAACAATTGTGAAAAGTTTCATCAAAGGAAGCTGTCCGACTTTGTTGGAAGATGAAAATTCAGAAACAGTTGGAAGCAATTTTCTGACGAAGCCGGAAGAAGCTTTGAAAGAAAGCTGCTTAAAACTTCCAGAGGAGGTTGGCACACAATTTCGGGGCATGTCAGCATGACTTCTGGGGGAATTTAGATGGAGCTTCCAGGGTAACCCAAAACAATCTTCCGGAGGAAATCGTAAAAACAATCCGCAGAAACATGTTGCGAAGAAAATTCCTAGAAAAGTTGAATTTAAACTCCGTATGTAGTGTGGACAGTTTCAAGAAAACACAGGCAAAACTTTCAGGATGAGTTGGAAGAATCTTCCGAATAAAATTAAAATGAAAATTTCCGGGGGATATCTGAAAAATCTTTCAAAGGAAATCAAAGACTCATCCGGAGCGGTTGTATGACAAACGGTCGCAAGACAAAAGATCGTATGACAAAACGTCAAATGACAACATTTCGAAAGGGCAAAAGGTCGAATGGACAAATGGTAGAATGCACAAAGGGTCGAATGGACAAATGTTCTAATGGACAAAAGGTCGAATGGACAAAAAGTCGAATGGACAAAAGTTCCAATGGACAGAAGGCCAAATGCACAAATATTCTAATGGATAGAAGAACGAAAGGACAAAAGGTCGAACGGACAACAAGTCAAATGATTCAAAAAGGGTCAAATTAAGAAGGACGAAAGACAAAACGTCGAATGACAAAAGGTCTAAGGTACAAAAGGTTGAATGATGTGAAGGGGGACAAACGGTTGAATGGAGAAAATGTCAAATGATGAGAAGGGGACTGAAAGGCCGAATACACAAATAACAAGTTTGCGCTCACAGGTAGAGGTTATCTCCTACGCAGCTGGATTTTTCGGAAAATAGGGAATAAAGACTGAAACGCGCAAAAATTGGTCGACAAAAAAATCGTTTCTTTCAGTCAAAATTCATATCACAAAAATCTTCTTATTTTTCTTTTGGTACTTCAATTCATATATTTAAAGGAAAAAATGTTCGTTCATTCATTTGGCTTGCCAAATCCGAACTGCCGTGCCTTCCGCTAAATCCCTTTCATTAGATTTTGCACAGTGCCAAACCTTATTCGCCGCCGAACGCCAGTTAGATTCAAACTGCTGCTCATTTCCATGGAGTTATTAGTTTTTTGAGATTCCGTTTTACCAAGGCCCAATACCGTTCGATAGGGCAGAGGGCTGTTGGGAGGGTTGTGGTCTTTGGGTACCACAACCACGTTGTTCGCATCGTACCACTCGATTGCCTTTTTCCCATAGTGGCAGCTCGCCAAGTCCGGCCAGAACAGCACAGGTCTAATATGTTGCTATAGGAATGGTAGAAGCCGCTTTTCCAGGCACTCCTGAACGTAGATCTCTTTATTGATGGTTCCCGTAGTAATGAAAATGCCACTTTTTAGACCACACGTGCATATGGCCTGCCAGACGGGATTATTTTTTCGAGAACTTCGATAGTTTGATTGTTTTGAAAATTTTAGCCACCTTCCCTTTTCCTGATGCGGTATAAAACTCCTGTTCCGGAAGTTGCTTGAAATCTGCCTTCACATAAGTTTCGTCGTCCATGACGCTGCACAGTGGTATGGGAAACATTGAGCTTGCCAGCGACGTCCCGGATGGAGAGGTTAGGATACCGCTTATATTGCACCGCCACCTTCTTCTTCGTCGCTGCCGGATTACGATTGCCACCGCTTCCAGGCTTCCTGGAGGTCGACAGACGCTCCCCGAACACTTTTAAAACGTTTGTCACGGTCGATTTGGCCACATCCAGCAATTTTGCCAACCTGGCGTGTGAGAACGTCAGATTCTCTTGCTGCGCGAGCAAAATTTTGACACGCTGCTCCTCTTGCTTGGATGTCATTTTGAAAACTGGAGAGCAAACGGTGAAAACACATCATAGCAACCATTTACACTCAACTACCAAATGCAGCATTTCAGGTTTTTTATGCATTTTTTACAGAAATACACCAATTTGAAGCTGACCAATTTTTGCGCGTTCCAGACTTTATGTGTGATTTCCACTAAGATGAAAGTAGAAATTCAGTAAAATTACTTAGGAAACATTTGATCATTCTATGTGATAATGGAGAAATGGTTTAATAAGACAGTTAATAAGTTAATAACTGATAAGATATACAGTTAACGAGAGAATATAGTCTATGGAAAAGTACGATATAGTTAAAACTACAAATATATGTTTGAAAAGAATGAACGGCAATCACAACCCGATGTTGATAATGATGAGTACCGTAAAGAGTTTAGGCGTCATGCAACAATTTAGGCGTCAACAAATATTCTAGCTCTCTATTCACAGCAAAAAATTAGTTTTAATGTTACATCCAAGACGATGCACTTCAATCATGTCGAAACCCTCATATAATTTTTATGGCCACAAAAATAGACAAATGCAGTAAAAGCAGTGTAATGTTAATTTTGTTCTGTTTGGCAAGTAATATTACATCATATTTTAGACGCGATTGAAGTGCATCCACGATGGGCCCAAGATAAGATCCATAGACCAACATTACAGCCATTTCCTCTATTAAAATTATTTTTTTGCTGTGTACGTAAGCATCCGATTGAAGCGATTTGGACGGGGAGAGTGGGAATGCCAACTCCCTGTTGATAACAATTCGTGGATAAAGGGCGGGCTCTTCTTCCCACTCATTGGGGCATCTTCCTGTTTGGGGGCTCGTTTTTGACCAATTGTGCGATCATGTTGCTGGAAAGAGATTATTTACTGTCCCGTAGATGCGTATAGGCGACTTTACCTATCGATCCACCCAATCCGTTTTTGGCTCTTCATACTGCGATGTGTTGAGAACAATCAGAGATTATTAAGCTTGATCAAGACAAACAGAGAATAGAGTCCACTGCTATCGGACTTAGTTTCCGTGCTACAATGGGTGGTAAACCACTATCATACATCATGCATGCAATAATTACGTAATCACTTTGTTGGGATTTTCAAACCCCCTTCCTTCATTGTAAGACTGATTAATATTTAATAACCCCCTCCCTTGTACACATATTTATATGGTTTATATATT